GGGCGGGAAAACTACCTCCTGATATGCTTTGTTCTCAGATGTCAAACTAAAGTCATTAGAAAGCAGTATGCAGATCTTCAGATAAAGAATATCCACCATTAATGTGCATATACTAGTCTGGATTAAATTCTAGCAGTGTATGTCCAGAATACCTCCAGAAACAGATTTTGTTAGTTTACCGAAGAAACAGCTTTTGAACAGAACAGAAGTTAAGAAGGTCACTTGGAAAGCTCAGGTCAGTATGGATGCAATTTCCCAGGTGTTTTCTCTCTACAACAGCTCCATAACAGGAATTAAAGTTCAGTTTAATTCAGGTCCTAATATGCAAAGCACATTAAGAGATTATCTTAAATTACCTGATCAAGTAATTACTTATGTATCCAAAACCAGGGTCACTGTTGTCACCTTTGCTGTGATGTTTTGCTTTCAGCTCAGCAGAAAACTGTTGCCAGGGTCAGACATGACTTCCACCTTGGACAGGAATCCAGCCTCTTAACTGATGTTTCACATCTAAAGGTAAGATCTATTGGACTTCTGTTTACTGCACACTCACACTAAAACTGAATGGTATAAAAGAAGATCTGAAAGCATACAAAGGCATTGATCTCATAGAATGTGGGCAATGATTTAAAATTAAAAATTACAAGTTCTGGAAGATATGCAGAGTGCTACAGGTGATGCAAAACCATACAGATTTTGTGTTAGAATGACCTTCAAATTCCTTGATTAGAGATCCCTCCTCCTGCTCCCTCTTTCCTCATATCACGAAAAGGTTCAGTTACAAAGTAAAAACAAATCTTCAAAGAAGCTATGCTTCAGTGTGCTGATTATCATTCATATTTACTGTGAATAAAACCAAACTTACCTGGGAAAGGAACTTCCATTGCAGTAACCTGAGCACTAAAGTATGCTTTTGCAAATCTTTTCATTTCACAAGTTATTTTTCTAAAGTAATGCTTACTACTGTATTGAGTTAGCTTGAATTTCAGGTAGTGATAGGATCCTTGAGTTGGCTTTAAATTCTTGTATTCTTAGCTCCAGCTTACACCTGTCATCATAGCAATCCTCCAGAAAAGTCTGCAGTTCACTTACTCTTTTCCTTCGTTTCCCACCTTCATGTAAGTTTTAATGACATGTCTTACTATCTTGTTGTTCAGTTTTAAGTAAAATATGGGTTTGAAAGAATCAAAAGTTATTACAAGTTTTCAGACTTATTGCTGCTACAAATCTGGTAGACATATGAATTTGAAACTCCTTAGTGTGAAGGCACATGAATCAAGGATTCTTGGTTGGGACCCTTCTCTGTCTCTACCCTCTATATGGGACAGAATTTAGTGCAGATAAACCTATACTCCAGCCTTTACAAATACAGGCATAAAAGCTACACCTTCTGCTACAGAATGACTGCTAATAATAGTGATTTAATTTAATAAACATTGCTCCCTTTGGAGAGCATGAAATCTGGAATGCTTTTGAAAATCTGCTGTAAGCACATGGGCATGCAGTGACCATGCTTGGAAATGATAGTCTTAACTTCTGTTTGCAGCCATAGCTCTTTTAAATATGTTCTTCCAGCTGCTGAGAACGCAGTCTATAAACCAAACTCTGGCACTTACTAACTGTTCTAAAGGACAGCAGATCTGACCGGCCTCAACCCTGGTGTTCACTGCCTGTCCCAGAACCATCTGGCAAACTACAGATGACTCTTAACAAGGAGCTTGGAGAAGAGTTGGGAGCAGGTGTCCCTCTACTGAGAAAGGCAAAGTAGAAGCTGAACTCCATTCCTGTTGAGCTCCACTTCTTGACACTTTTGATGCAATTTATACTCCAGAAGTGTAAGGGAAGATGACAACTGCTTTTGATTTCTCAACAGGAGGGTAGGTCTAGAAGTCCTAGATAGAATCTAAATAGACAGGGTACAAGTTCTGGCTAAATTTATGTCCCTTCCTGGAGTGACAAGTTTGTTTAGTACATAATCCTGTTCAGATAAATATTTCTGTAAAACAGACCTTGGAAGTCAGTAATCAGGATCTAAAAACCAGGAAGGTAGGGAGATGCATTGGGTATAAACAGCAAGGTGCTGGCTGTGGGGGCTGTAGGGCAGCTCCAAGCAATACACTGCAGGGCACAGTTGAGCTAAGCAGCCATGCACCATGGTGGCAACTGAGAGAAAATGTATTTAAGAAAGAGCAGTAAATTCCAAGGAAGAAAAAGAAAAAAAATAAAATTTCCAAGGTTAGAGCAGTAGGAGGGGCTCCACAGCAGAGCTGGTGACACTCCCCAGGGACTGCAGCCTGGGAACAACCCATGCTGGAGCAAGGGAAACGAGTAAGAAGGAAAGAACAGAGAAAAAAAAAAAAAAAAAGAGTATGAAACAAGGAGCAACAGAAAGAGACCTCTGACCAAAATGTCCTCCAACACCCATCGCCCCACCAAAAGAACTGAGCCTAACCTGTGGCAATATGAAGCTGTGTGGATGCTTGGCTGCTGGCTGGGGCCAACGCAAATGTGTGATCATTTTTGAAAGAAATAACTTTACCACAGATACCCTTCTAAAAGATAAAAGAAAATATAATGAAGTTGCTGAGAGCTCATTAGGTAAAGGAAATCATCTTGAAAATCAGTTAAGTCTTCTAGGTTCAAATTTGTACCCACTGTCTTCATAAGGAAAACAAAACAAAACAAAAAAAAACAACAAACTAATAAACCAAAAACAAAACAAACAAAAAAACCCCACCAACAACAAAAAAACTAACTGGAAAAAGGGATCCTCAGTTCAGGTTTCAGGTGGAAGTAGCTGATTAGGAAGTTTCATCTTCAGGCTGTAAGATACAGATCTCTAGACCTTAGTGATAATTTGAAAGAAAAATTAAAAGCCAAAAGGGAATAGAAACAAGTGGATCTTCAAAAGTCTTCTATTAGAAAGTTTCAAAGTGGCTGAGGAAAATACATCATCCAAAAGGATTTTAATTGCCTTTTACTTTAAAAATGCCGCCTTCAACACACCTATAGCTGGTGCTTTTTCATTTTATCCAGCTTTGCACAGATATTATTGTTGGAGGCAGAAGAAACCTGATTCATCACTACCATTCAGCACCTCTTGATGCATCTGGGATCCAAGAAGTTGTCAAAATAGGTGAAAGATGTTCTCACTAACACTGAGACAAAAACAATATACAATCCTCAGTCCACTGACATGGTAGACTTCTGTCTGCTCTGCACCTGATGATCACTGACTGCATGTGCTCAGTATCTCACAGGATCAGATCAAACTAACAACAGAAGTAGAAACATTACAAACCCAACTGCTGAGTGTTTTTATGCACTGTGCAGCCACTAATTTACTCTACACACTTCAACTAACCAAGCTAAACAGCCTCTGTTAGATAACCATGAATATGATTTCTGTCTAACTGAACAAATTATCACTTGCAATTAATTCATTCTTGATTATAAATCTGAACTGAGGCTCCTAAACCTGTTTTCATACAAACTCATGTGAAAAGCACAGTCTCCAATGAGCATTACATTATGCAGTCCTGATTTGCACCTGTCAATTTACATTTCTTTTAATTTAGGGATAATATTGCTTGAGAGTTTCTTCCCACATCAGCAGTGGAAGAGGGACACGCATAAGAGATAATTCATCTTTGGTTCTTGATGAAATTTTTGTAAAGCAAACGCTGCTTTACTTGCTTTAGCATACAAAAAGCAAGTGAATTCTCTAAAGGAGAAGTAATGCCTTTTATTAGACTCACTGTAGCAACTGGACAATATATAAGTTTTCAAGAACAAAAACTCTTCTCTGAATGTGCCCTAAAAGTTTATCTGTTTTCCTCAAATCTAGTAGCAGAGAGATGTAAGATGATAGCTCTCCCTAAAAACTTGCCCTCACTTTTACTCTGAGGTTTTATGTTCAGTATTCTAGTGGACATGCAGAAGCAAATCCTCGATTGCTGCAGAGCAAAAGACCTTTCCCTTCATTTAAGCCTTTACAGTTTTCACTGAGAATGCATCCCAATGCCTTCTACCTAAATTGTCCTAGTTTAGCCAAATGCTAACACAGTGCAAATATTTCTTTACGTCTCATGGAGTTCTCTGTCACACTGAACAACCAAGGCAGTAAAGTTTGTGAGCATACAAAAGTAAAGAAAAGGCTCCGAAATCAGAGAACTGCCCCAGGCATTTGCAAGGTGACCAGTACCCGGGGCTCAGGAAGAAGCAGGACAGATGACGAGATGATCAGAGCTCTTTATCTGACAGCCCCTGCAAACAGTATGATTTCCTAAGACCTTATGGCCCACAGAATAGCACCTCAGCTGTAAATCTCAGTAGACCTCCCAAGTAAGGGGGCCAGCCCACTAAAACCCATGATTTTTCCAACAAATGTTGAAAAATAAGTTTAAATACACTCTTACCTCAGCAGTAACCAAGAGGGTTTCTGAAACTATTTGATCTGCTGGTGTTGCAAAGGCTGAAAGAGATTGTATCTGGTCTGCAAGAAACCTGTTGGCAGCTCTCATCCACTCATCTAAATGCTGAAAGTCATTTAAACACATTTCTAGGTGTTCTTCAGGAGTTTGTTATTAAAAGGAAAATAGGAAAAGTGTTGATAGGACACTTTATAGAAATGTGCTGTTTAGTTATGAACCACCTCATGCTGAAAAGGCACACACATAGGAGTAATTTCCATTCAGGTAAAGCAGGAGAGCTTTTCTATCCCAAACACACAATATACATTAACAGCAGTCAAACATAAGCCACCACTGAGGAAAAAAAAAGCTTTGGAAAATTTGCAAAGTATTCTTGCAGAACAAGAATTCATCATCTAAAAGGATTTTACTTATTTACATCAGAGTTACGGATGAAATGAAGCTTTGCAAAAGAAGATGGATGCTCTCCAACTGTTCATATGTCAATGTTTTTTGAGGTGTGACCAGAGTGTGGGAATCACAAAAAAAACCCAACCATCTACTTGACATCTTTTCCTGGTCTTCTAGATCATGAGCTTGAAGACCTTAGGGGAATGTTTTATATTTAGGGGTGAAACAGCAAGCTGAACCCCAAAACTTAATTAGTTCAACCCATCTTCACCATGCTGAGAAATATTTCTATTAACATTAAATTATATACATAAGCAGGGCATGCAATATATATATATAAAAAATATGAGACATCTCAGACCCCCGAAATCTGAGTCACCCTGTACTTACTTATTTTAGGCAGGATTCTGCAGTTTGCTCTAATTTGCCACAAATGCCATTAGTCCAAGAGCATTTTAAAATAGAAGATAAGCCACAGTATGGTAAAATCTCTGCTCAACATGAGCATCTCTCAGCTGATGGCAGTGGTGCATAGACCCTTCATCAGAAAGAGCCGTTGTCGTAAAATTAGAGCTACTAAGGGTAAAGGGTAGTGGGAAGATAATGAAAAAAATATCCCTTTTCCTGATCTTATTTTACCTCCTTTAGCTGTCTGGAGAGGAACTTAGTTGTCTGAAAGGGTAAAATGCTCTATCTTGATAACTGCAGACAATAAATATAAACACATGTAG